GCTCTCAGCCTCAGGGGAACACAATGGCAAACTCTTTTGAACAAATCTTACCAAGAAAACTCCATGATACCTTAATGTCGCCATAAGTTGGAAATGACTTGTAAGCAAACAACAGCAAAGAAAAAAAGTTTACAGAAACATGTTGAACTGCTCTTCTTTTGGGGGGGCTGCAGGAACTCATTTCTATTCTTCCCAAGTTTTTCTGCCTCTGGTATCAAATTTTATGTTAAAGAGACAATAGCTAGGTATGCATCTACTTTGTCAACTGAGGCATATTTGTATACTCCTGCCTACTTTGATCTGTACACTTTTCCTCTCAGTAGCCCTGCACTTCACATAACTTCCACAAGTTATATCACTGTAATATCTCAGCAATCTGTATTTGTAGCAGAACTATGAAATCCTTTGTTTCATAATTGTTCCTTTATTATAAAGCTGGTCCATACCTATCTGGATCTCAAGAAAAGAGTCGTCCCCAAGAGCACAGATGTTTGCAATCCCTGATTTAATCTGGGTTCTAGATCCTAAAGGGATTTCTTTTACTGAACACACTTCTCTTGGTGAAGGGGTATGAGCTTTCAAATTTCCCAGAGCTTTAAAGGAAGACTACGGTAGGTCTCCATAAAATCCAAAAGCTAGAGTATCCTGAGGAAACAGGAATGACTCCAATAAAATCTGTTACTTAAATTTGTCTCATTAGTGTCTGTGGATTCCCTGCCTCCAGATGCTTGCCTGGGTTTATGTCATCTCTTGTTTCATTGGATTAGGTCACCTCATTTTGTCCATGTTTTTCAGATTATGTAAACAGGTGATGTAAAATGGAGTTAGGTGTAATGAATGCATTGTTTTGGGGGGATGAACATGAGACAAGAGAAAGAATTCAACTTCTCAAATGGGCAATATTTGACTTGCTCTTTGGAGTTGACTAGCAAAATGTGGCTAACTCTGTCTGTTTGGGATAAATGGGCAACGTAAAATATACATGATCAGTTAGTTTCTCTCACCGGCAATTTCTTTGATGTTTGCCAGAGTGTCTATTTATTAAAAAATTGTGCTCATGGGCAGGATTTCATGTGATCTTTTATTTTCCTCCAGCATGTCAAGTATTTCATTTCCTTGTTAAATTTTCTTTAAAATCAGGAGAAAAACAAGAAGGAAAAAACTCAACCCCTTGAGGGGTCCAGTTACAAACATGCTTTGTGCTTGTCTCTTTTTTTGCTGCAGGTTGAAGATACAGCCACAGTTTCTATTCAGAATAAAAATATTAAACTTCAGAACAAGGGAGGCAGAACAAGATTAAAAGATTATTCTATGTGTCAGTTTTCCAAGGCAAAATAACTACAAAAATGAGTGCTTAATTTTTTTTATTTGTAACCTCTCATATTGGGCTGTCCAGTCAGGCACAATTGGTTGCTGACATGATGGATTTCAAACACATTTTTGAACAGGAAAAGTTTGCTGAGGATTTGCAGTGTCATGTGGGAACAGCAGTGAACAAAGCTGAATGATTATAAATGAGAATATTTTGGCTTCTTTCAGACATTGCCTTTAACACTCATGGCACGGCTGTACTAAACCACACTGCTGAATCGATCAGTTATTGATAGGTCTTCTTCAGATATTCTTATGATCTCATAATAATATCTTGGCTGCCAGAGAATCTGTAGCATGTGGCAACCAATTTTTTTTAAAAAAAATTTGTACAAGTGTAGTAAACAAAACTTTGAAGATGTGTTGAGAAGAATCATCAGCTGTGTAATTCTATTTTACATTTTTTATTTTACTGATAGATTGTTTATCCACAAATTAACAGTGTCCTTTGATATAAATGGAAACAGTATAGGATTATTACATTCATCATCTAAAATAATAGAAATGATAAGTGATTCAGAATACAGTGTGAGGCATCTGTATCCCAAATACAGATACAGCTGATTCCGAATATGGATTTATTTGCATCCTTACAAGAGTCCATTAGGGATAAGAAAACCTCTCAGTTTTGTTTTTGATGTGTTTCTCACAACTCCACTAAGCAATCTCTTGCAAGTATTGGTTTGCAAGTCTTTTTCTTTTCTTTTCTTGCATAGGAATTCATTTGTAATTTTTATATTTTTCTTAATGTGTATACTTCTACAGAGCTTGGACATTTATTTTTGGATTACAGCTCCCACAATCCCTCAGCAAGCATGGCCACTAGCTTTTCCATGTGTTGCATTTCCCCAGTGATTATTTCTATACATTTTTCTAATTTTAAATATATTTCAGTCATAGGACGTTATCACACAGGGCCTAAAGCAGTCCCATCCCCATCGCATCCCCGTCCCATTGCGGTTCCTTTTCAATCCAGAACTTACCGGTATACAGAAAGCAGCATCATTCCGGTATCATTCTGGTCGCGGCAAAATGTAATTCCCAAAGAAACCGGCATTCAAAAGAATGGGGATGATGACGGATGATGCCGCAATGGGACGAGGATGGGACGGGGATGGGACGGGGATGGGTGCGACATCATGTGAACACATGGGGAAAGGAAGCGCAATGGGATGGGGATGCGACGGGGATGGGCGGGGTTTCTCTGCGACGTCGTGTGAACACAGGGGAAAAGGAAGCGCAATGGGACGGGGATGCGACGGAGATGGGACTGCTGTAGACCCCGTGTGATAACGTCCATATATATGTACTTACAGTTTAAAAAGAGGCAACAGGTACTTGCAATTTCTTCCTGATGATAGGAAACCAAAATATCTTCATACACATTCATTAGTGTTTCAGAGAACATAAATTAGACACATTCATTTAAAAAATGAGATCCCAACATTCTCCAATGCTCCCAGTCTCCTTGATGATTCACAGGGGATCTGCTAATGAAATGTGAATGTGAAAGTTAGTACTGGATCCTTCTAGCTTAATAATCAATTTGGCAGGGTAGAAGCTGAACAACAACCAGTTCCACACTGACCCACACCTGCAGGATCCAGCAGAAAAAAATAACCCCAGTTTTCTTTGTAGAAAAATATAAAAATAGCTTTACTTTAAAATATTTTTGCATCATAAAACAGTGGAGAGTTAGGGTAGAGAAAATATCTGAAGGTTAGTTAGCATGAAGGAGGAAGACAGTGCATGTTGTAAAAATAAATAAGCAAGAGATAAGTTCCTGCATTAACTCTCCTCCATTAGATCCAGAATTTTATTATGCAAAAATATCTGTAAATAAAGCTATTGTTTATATGTTTCTACAAAGGAAATGAGGGTTATATAGAAATTTGCAAACTAGTTAACGAATACATGCATGTAAAGATTGCTGATTTTAACATATTATTAACTCTAATTTGTAACTGACCCAGTCTATTCCAAACTGGATGCTAGGGAATCTGTCTACTGTCTGTCAAAATTCAATCCAACAAAAACTACTGGACGTTTCATCACCAGAAAAAATATATATGAAAACAATTGTTTGATGTGAACTGATTGGGAGAGTTTAGCATTGTCTGGGATTTAGGTTCCTAAGGGGAAGCGATTTCCCTTGATGCTTTATCCTTTTAGTACTTGCTGTTCCCACACACCTGCAAAAAAACTGTCATATTACGGAGACACCATACATCTTATCTCCGAAGCAAATAGACCTAGTATAAAGATTCCCTCAAACTTCATAATGCTTAAGGTAAAGAACAATAAAATATCTTAATTTAGTGAGTGGTTTTAGCATGTAGAGTTGTTTTGCAGGGTTTCCTGTGAGGTGGTCATCCCCATTTTATGGATTGGAAAATATGACTGAAAAGCAATGCTTCTTCCCCACAAGGCTACTTACTTTGCTCCTAGCAGAATAAATCTTTTCCCAAGACTGTTGTCTACATCTTTCAAAATATGTATCTCCACATGGAAAATGAAATCAAATTTGTCAATAAGAGAGGCATGCAGATTGATCAGGGGAGACAGTAACTCCTCACTATCTAGTTTAAACCAAAGGGGAATTGTAGGAGGGTAAAGAAAGGGATCTAATAGGAGTTGTGGAAAGGTTGAGGATGGCTCAGCCTGTATGCACTCCATGCCACTTTTTGCCACTTTTTTACACAGGTAAAATGGCTGAATTTTCTTTTAATAAAAATGCATGCCAATTTTATTTGAATATGTATTTCAATACAATGGGCCTGCCATAACAGAGCTCCCACAAATCACCAAAACCCATATTTGTCACTGTATATACTTTAATTTTTTTTCTTTCCAAATCCACTTCTGAAAGTGTATTTTCTCTCAAATACATGTAAGGGAGATGGATCTTGATATCTCTTTAGAACCAAGAACTGTGTTTTAACACTGAGAATATGCAAGTGTTAATAAAGGTATCACCCACTGTTTACCAGTAGTTAGGCAGATTCAGTCAAAGCAAGGCTGTAGACCTCCCATCCATGTTGACATTTGGTCATGTCCCTTCCATACCTACATACACAAACCAACAACAAGGATTAATTTGATTTTTAAAATATGTGCTCACTTTGAATATATGGAGCTATAATGTGCAAAATTAAAGCTGCAAAGGGAAAACTAGAAGATGTCTAATTTTTTACCATTCATATTTATTTATTTATTTATTGTAAAAA